ATATTCTCAAGTGATTCATCATCAGAGTGAAAACAGCATTTTCATTGCATGATCATGGGGTCCCAGCTGGTAAATAATTTAATCAGGAAAATGTAGGCAGGTTGTGTGTAGTGGTGCATACCTTTACTCCAGCACATGGGTGAGTGAGGGGGGAGGTACAGGAGTCCAGCACCAGCCTGGACTCTCAAAAAAAAAAAAAAAAAAGTGTGGGCACAGGAATATGTAGTGACACTGTCCCTGTTACTCATACTTCCCCTGAAGTATGAATAGTAGCCTGCACTTTGACATCCTCTTTTCATTTTGGTTCTCTAGGTAGGCTGGTATTAGCCTTCTGGCTTCCTGAGGGTGGTGTAGCCAAGGAATGTAATGCTTGTTTTGGTATAATGCTGTGAAGGTGGCTAAGACTCTGGGTTCATAAGCTAGGGAAAATGATAAATGACTACACAGCCTTTACTGATATAAAGAGATAGCTGTAGCGATAGGTCTAGCAATTGGAAGCAGACTTTCAATTGAATTAACTTGCAGTTGAATACATACTGTGGTCATTTTTCACTATAGGGTGTTTAATAGTTCCTTCCTTCTTTCTTGAATTGGAGGCACTCATATGGAGAACCTTGTTTTGTTCAGTAGATTGAGATTTGTTTCTACACTTGGTCTTATGGGCTACCTATCACTGATAATAATAGCTGTCTTTACCTAAAGTGTGAGTGCTGGCTGTACCTAAACTATTCTACTCCAACAGTGTAAGCGGGAGAAGGATAAACAAGACAGAATGTCTTTTCCCTGACAAAAGCAATAGGACAAGAATGTCAACAAAGAATCTAATGTATAGTAAGACAGGTCTTATATGAGGTTAATGTGCTGGAACGGGTCGGGGGAATCACGTGAACTCAGGTCAGTAATTTCTAAGAATTCTTTGTTGTGCTTATCATACATCTGGGAGCAGGACTGAGCATGGGGTGGGTGGTGAGAGGCAGGCTGAGAGTAGTTCCTGTGGAGTCTTGAGTGCCCTGGATTGTAGCATGGTCTCAATATGAAGGACACCAGAGCTTTCTGCAGAGTTGGTAGAGGTCAGATCCATGATTCTGAAAGGTGACGTGGTGTGTGCCAAGCAGGTTGCAGAGGATGTAGAGAAGCTTTAGGCTGATAGTTGAGGCCGTAGTGGTAGTTTAGGTAAGGACTGATGAGACCCTAAACCAGTAGCACTGGAACAAAAAGAAAAGATGCTTTGAGAAAAATGTCAGAGGCCAAGATACAACTTGGTCACTGGTTTACTCCTAGGGAAAAGGAAACATGAAGAATTGAAAGATTTTTAGGTGAAGTGACCAGAAAACATGCAAATGGCGGTGGAATACAGCAAGACAGCAGGAGCGAATAGGAGGAACAGCTGCAACACTGGCAGCAGGGAGCAAGTCTGTCTCCCTTAAGTTGTATTCAGGCTGTCTGCCCCAGGCTGGGTGTAGTACTCACACCCATAATCCCAGTGAATCATGAGTTAATCACAAACTCTAGAATTCTGCCCCATGACTGCATGACGCTTTGGGGGGACAACTAGACAAAAACCAGAACATTCTGTCCTTGGACCTCCAAAGACTCATGCACGTTCCTTTATGCAAAAAGCATTTTAGTCCATCTCTAAGATTTGGCAAAGCATTAACAGATTCAGCATTGCTGAAAAGTGCAATTCCCAAGTCTCCTCCCAGCCCTAAGGCAGACTCTTAGCTATGAGTCCCTATACAAAAGAAAAGTTAAGCACTTCCAACATTCAGTGGCACAAGATAAGCATTACCATTCCAAAAGGTACACACAGCAGGATAGGAAGCACTGGGACCAATGCAAGTCCAAAGTCCAGAATGGTGAACATTGAGTCCGGTAGTTCCATGTGGAACATCCAAAGCAGTCTGTGGCAAATTGTGAGCTCCATGTGGCACCACCTCCATGTTACTTCTGGTGGTTTTAGCTCCCATGGTTTCTCTCTTAGGCTGTCTTTGCTCCCTCCTTGCAGTTTCCCTTAGATGATCCACGTTCCTGGCTTTTCCAAGCTTCTGGGGTTTCCATTGCATAAGTTTCTCACTCATAGCTTTATATACTGCCCTCTCAGGGGCACACTGCCTGACCTCCCAGGCTTTATTCTGAAATCTAGGCAGAAACCCTCTTAACCTCAGAATTCCTGCATTCTGAGTGCACCCAAAACCAATGCCACATGGATGATGCCAAGGTCTGCTGCAAGCTGTAGCAATAGCCAGGCTTCTCTCTTGGATGTAGGGGTCAAGTGCCTGGATTGCTGAGCACTCTGACCCTGACTTCCAGGAACAGATTCTCCATTTTGGTGCCATTCTGGAACCTGGTGTGGCCACCACTGCGGCTGCTCTTTCCCTTGCAATTCTGAGGCTGCAAAGGGTAGAGACCTGCTGCCTTCAGGGATACCATCAGGCATTCCCTTTGATTCCTTCTTGGCACTGGAGATCCTCTCAGTTCTATCTTTGCATTCCACAGCTTATTGGAGCTTTCTTTCTGGCCAACCTCATAACATTTAAAATCATCCACCTGGGCTCTTTGCTCTTGATTTTCAACAAAAATCTGACTAAAAGCCCCCCAAAATAGCCATGCCACTGCCTCAATATTTAGCTGCTTTAACATTTCTTTTGCCCAATTAGTCTATTGTGCTAAATCTCAGACTCAGGCAAAGTCTCTGGACACAAGCAAAATGCAGACAAACTGTCTGCCAAGCTGTAACACAAGTCATCCAACTATAACAACCAGTGCAGTCCTTCCCAGCAGAAGCCTCCACATCCTAGTCTTTACAAGCAGGCTTTCTGTCAGCCTTCTGGTCTTCTGAGCTCTGACCAGCACCTTCCATACAGAACAGCTGAAGCTGTTCCAGCACTTTGTCTGTAGGCAACATCTCTAAACCTTTCTTATCTCTTCCCATAAACCATTCCAAAAAGCTTGTAATCCATATGATCAGGTTTAACCACAGCAAGGACCCCACTTCTCTGGTACCAAATTCTGTCTCTGTAACTGTTATCTCATTGCTGGGACAAAATACCCAACACCCAGAATGAAAGAAGGAAGGGTTTATTTAGCTCACAGTTTGTGGAGATTTCAGTCCATGCTCAGCTGGCTGCAAGGCAGACTGGCACGTGGCAGAGGTAGCAGTTCATAGTAGCAGAAAATAGCAAAACAGCAAAAGCAAATGGGAGGAGTAGCAGCAGCAACAGCAGTAGAGACCAAGTTTGTTGGCCTTAAATTGCATTCAGGCTGTCTGCCCCAGGCTGGATGTAGCACTCACACCCGTACTTCCCATTGGATCATGAGTTAATCAAAACTCTAGAATTCCGCACCATGGCTGCATGAGGCTTCGAGGGGACAGCTAGACACACCATAACAGTGGCCTTTATGAGATACTCACTGGGTACATTCTATAAGTAGTCATAAATTTTGGTCAGGCAGATAAGAGTGGGAGATTCGAACATGGAAGTCAAGCCTTAACTTACATCTGTGAGGACTTGGCAAGGAGTCACTTTACTTCAGAAGCTGAGTTTTAAGGCCCCAAAACAGAAGACTGCCTGACTCCTCCCATTCCAAGAGCAGGTGGTTGCAGGAACAAGTCCTATAATGCAGAGGCCTTAAGTAGGCTCTGATTTTTATTTATTGTTTATTCTTAACTCATATAATGTACATATTTTCAAACTATGGAAGAGTAGAGGAAAAGGTACAGTATAATGCTTCACCATGTGCTGTTTATCTAGCGTCAGTCTTTTTCAGTATTTTGTTGAGCTCTTTTACCTTCCCAGGTGTTTATAGCAAGCAAAATGATGTAAAGTTCATTATGTTAAAGCGTATCATTTCTCTTACACTTCAGTTCTCACACATTCATAAATCTTTACACGTTTATGTTATTATCTCACCAAAGTTAAAAAATGAATTCCTTAATATCATGTAATAAAAACTCATTTCATTTAAATAATTTGAAATCCTTGAGAGCCACTTCAGTGATACTTTTTAATTGCATAGAAATTAGCTTTCTCTCTAAGGGCCTGTTTGGAAGGAGGCAGATTGTCCTGAGAAAGATGCTGAAAAGCACTCTGCAGAGAGGGTGCTTCTGCCTTCAAGGGAAGCTAAACTCTGTTTTGTGCATGCACTTCTTGCCTAGGAATAGTTGCAGAGATGGATGGTTACACATTCTTTTTTGTTTTTAAATGTATTTAGTACAGGGTCTACACGGTCTACAGGGTCTCGCTACACAGATCACACTCACAGTGATGCTCCTGATTTGAGCCTCCCAAGCGCTGGGATTGCAGGTGCACACCACCATGCCCTGTCTCAATCACTGTCTCAGCGCATCCCAGGGGAAGGCCAGCATGGCATGTTGCCAGTATGGAACCCTGGTCCCTGTGCCTGCCTAAGCAGATGCTTAGCTCGCTGAGCTGGCTGGACAGCCTTGATGACACATACCTTAGATCATATGAATTAAATCTGTATCTAAAGGTTACACTTTTGTTCCTCCGATCCACATATTGTCCAGCTCCTTATTCTAGAGTAGTGATTCCCAACCAGTATGATTCTCTCCAAGTCATTTCTGTTCTTACGTCACAGTTAAGAACTGCTCTTCCTTAAGTAGAGATTCGTGTTCCTGAATGCTTTTTCCCTCAGTCGTTTTTACCTCAGCTGGATGTGGCCAGATGCTTGAACCTACCAAACTTCACTTCAGTTTTCATTGCATTTGTGTTTTAAATTGTAGCACAGAACAGAAGCAGTTTGGTTTCCTGGGTTGTAAATTTAAAGCGAGGTGTACTTTTCTGAGGTGATGTTTGCTGATTTGACCAAAGTTCTCTCTCAAAGAAGATAGTAGCTTAGGGAACCCAATAAGCTAGCAAGTGGGTACTCATTGAATCAAGACGTAATCTACATTTTTTCAGCATGTTTTGAAAATGAAGTCATTTGTAGTAATTAAGTAAAAAAACATAATTTAAGTGTTTCACCTTTTTTATTTGTAGGAGATACAGTTGGAGCATGCAAAGCAAGCTTTTGTGCAGCGTGACAGTGCCAAGATGGGAAGAGTCACAGCCATCGACTTTCGTGACATCATGGTCACCATCCGTCCGCATGTCTTGACACCGTTTGTAGAAGAATGTCTAGTAGCTGTAAGTTGTGGCTTGGCTCTAAGGAAATATTTTGTTCTACTTGGCTTAAGCCAAGTAGATAAAGGACTATAAAAGCAGTTCTTCTAGATTATGTAGGGGTTGTTTTTCTGTTTAAAATATTTAACGTTGTCTGGTCAAGATTGCATTTATTATCAAACTTACAAACAAAAAGTATGTTTGGCTGGCTTTATTGGGTGGGTTAACTTGTTGTGTGGATTATATTGAAGATCTTAGACAAATGTACAATTGCCCTGTGGTATCTCTGGGGGATTAGATCTAGAAACTCCACCCGCTGCACATACTAAAATCTGCAAATGCTTGATTCATTTATATAAAATGACATAGTCTTTGCATATAACCTAATGCCTATATTTTTGATACTTTAAATCATCTTTAGATTATTGAAAATACCTAATACAATGTAAATGTAATATAATTAGTGGTTACACTGTATTGTTTAGGGAATAGAAAGGGGTGAAGTAAATGTATTCAGTACAGACATAATTTTCCCCTCAAATCTTTTCAATCTGTGGTTAGTTGAATTGAACCCATGGGGTATGGAACCAATAGATACAGAAGGCTAATTATATTAACCAGTTAAAGAAAAAAGGAAAAACAAATTAGTGATCAGTGTTACTTTTGCTTCATATTTTGAGGTGTGTCAAGTACTGATCTTGTTTGCTCTTTAGGGCACAAAGAAAAAGAGCACACACGTATTATTTGCTACACTAGTGAGCAGAACAGAAGCCTGAGCTTTACTCACTCATTCACCACATTGGTATTGAGGCTTGCAGCACGCTTGGGACAGGCAGAGTCAGGCTGTCGTGTGTCGTGGGGCCTCCCTCCCAGGGGAGTCCAGCTCTTTCCTTCCTCTGAGGCCCTGGGTGTCCTGCACCATCTGCAGGGTGATTCCCAGTGCTTGGTCATGGAGCTCCAGAATCACCAGAAGGAGTCTTTAGAGTACAGAGTGCAGCTGTGTCTTCGCTTGGTCTTCGTGTCTGTGGGCAGGGAGCTATGGAGAACATTTGGAAGGATTCCTGGCGGTTCTGCTGACCGCTCAGGTGTGGGAGCCACGTGCCAGTGGTAGCTTTCCTTCTGCTGATCCCAGCTGGAAGAGCAAGTGCCTTCACCATCTTCTGGGCTTCTTACCAGGCTTAGCACATGTGGGAGCGCACCACTCCCCCCACTTTTGTTTTCTGTTGCTTCTTTCTCTAGACATGGCCTTTACGCCTGGCCTCTTCATCTCTGGCACGGTGCTAATCCAGCTGCTTTTTTACTTGGCCACCCTTTCCTACTCCATATTAAATCTCATGTCAGCTGTTTTTTTTTTTTTTTTTTTTTTTTTTTTTTAATGAGCAGAGTATATTTATTGAGGGAAAGAATGCTTTTGTCCGAAAGAGGGACAGGAGGGAGGCCTGAGCTGGCTATTCCCCATGTCAGCTGTTTTAAATGACTATGAAGTGAAGATATATGTGGTTGTTACCTTATAAAGCAGTGTTTTCCTAATAAAAATATTTTGCCTTGTTAAGGAAAGATAGATTTTTAAAACCCTAAATTGAAGTTCCATTCATAATGGACATTCTGTCTCTTTCCCTGGTCCCTTATAAAGAAATACGACTTCTTAAAAGCTTTGATTAACAGAATCCTGACCAGTCTTAACCCCTATTCAAGTATATGACATCTCATATTTTTACCATAATATGCTTGTTGGTTTAAAATCCCACCAAAGTCAAGTCTGTACTGAAATAATTGTTTATTGCTGGTTATAAGTAATTTGACAAATCTTTATGTTAATGTTAGATGAGCCACTTTTACAGTATGGTCACATTGATAGGCCTTTGCATGTGTAAGCACATGCATGTGTGCATGTGTATAATACAGTTTTGTGTGTATAAGCCTTTAAGAATGCTCGTTAGATGAAATAAACCAACTTATAAAACATTTCCATCTAAAATGTGAACTCTGTAAATTACTACTGATCTTATTAAAATCGTACACATGTATTTATTTAGTTTTCTGAAAGTTGTATGTGGGAAGTACAAGTTCTGGTCATGATTAGTTACAGTTACTTTTAGAAAATATTTATAGGTCTATTTTAATATGAAAGAAAAATTCTTAATGGTCATGTCTTCTTATGCATACATTTTTGGTAATTTCCAAAGTAGCATTAGATATAATACGTACTTCTGACTCTTCCTTACCTATAAATCCTTTTTTTTTTCTTCCCTCTTATATTCAATTTATCAAGGCTGCTGGAGGTACCACATCCCATCAAGTTAGTTTCTCCTATTTTAATGGATTTAATTCGCTTCTTAACAACATGGAACTCATCAGAAAGATCTACAGCACTTTGGCTGGCAACAGGAAAGACGTAGAAGTGACCAAGGGTGAGTGAGAGTGCGTCTGAATTCTTGTAGGCCAGTGTGTTGGGGAACAAAGGAGACAACCAGGAGCATGTCGATTTTTCTGTTCCATTCACATTTACATATATTAATCACATGGTATATGGGTGCTCCATCCTTTGATTGGACGTCCAAAACCAAAACCCTCACCAGGTTTTACATAAACTGAAGACAGCATTTGAATTAGAAAAGTTTCTTAAATATGTTCAGACCTTGCTAGAATTTGAGCTAAGTTGACAGCCTCTAACGTGCCCTTCAAAAGTACATGAGGAATTCCACAAATTTGTATTGAAGACTGTGTAAGTTATCTGTGAACTTGAGTAAGATGTTTTATTACTTTAATGGGATTTTTTTCCCCCCTTAAAATAGTGAATTCACTTAGGAATTCTATCTAATAAAGCTGCTTGGGATCCCTGCATGTGAAGTTTCATATAAGCTTGTTTCCTTATTTTCCTTGACCTGAAATTTGAAAACATTCGTATGCAGTGTGTTAATTATTGAAACTGTCATATCAATTTGATTTGAAACTGTCTCATTGCTATTTGTCTGTCAATAAAATTATGGGGGAAAAAAAAGAATTTGAAAACATCCTGTGTCATTTCTTCAGATGACCCTGAGCTTGTAAGCTGGCCGTTGGAGAAGTAGTCTGAATGCTTTTGCCACGTGAATGAAAGAACTACAGATATTCTTATCCTGTTTGGGTTGAATTGAATTCTGTGACTGATAGGAAAGCTGTGTGATGCTCACTTATCCTAGTGCTTTGAGTTGGCTTTGAGTTTAATGCTATTCTTTCTTGAATCTTTTCCTTTTAACTTTTTTCCATACAGAGGAGTTTGTTCTGGCAGCTCAGAAATTTGGTCAGGTCACACCCATGGAAGTAGACATCTTGTTTCAGTTAGCAGATTTATATGAGCCACGAGGGTAAGTTCACTTTAAAAAAAAAAAAAAAAAATTAGTAATAAAAGAAGGCCAGGAGGTAGGGATGGGAGGAGGACAGCAATCAGGAGAAAAAGCCCACACTGAAATATGGCAAATGATAAAATGAACAGTTCAGAATTCCAAAATGTAAATTTAATAAATTGTTTTGTTGCTTTTTGTGCTTATTTTTCCCACAAGACGAATGACGTTAGCAGATATTGAGCGAATTGCTCCTCTGGAAGAGGGAACCCTGCCTTTCAACTTGGCCGAGGCCCAGAGGCAGGTGAGTGAGGGCAGACGGCTGAGGCCTCTTCAGTGAGCTTCCTTCGTGAGCCCCTTTGCGCTTACGCTTGCCTTTCTGGGATTGCTGTCTGACTGACATTTTTCGATCTTACAACTCAAATCCAGATAATTTCACAAGACTCAAAAGAGACTTTACTTAAGACCTTCTGATGAACAGACACTGGCTTCAGTTTCTTTCAAGGATAGGTTGGTTTTCTCATGTGCCAGAGGCTGGACGCTCCCACAGTGCGGAGATCTGCTCTTCCCCAGTCCTCACACTGAGCCGTGTGTGTGTGTGTGTGTGTGTGTGTGTGTGTGTGTGTGTGTGTGTAGGGTGGGGGACAGCCCCGGCTTGGTGTCTCTGTCGCTGGCCGCCACCGTGTGTTGTTGCTGAGTGAAAGCCATCGCTGCTGTGCAGAGTGGCGCTCTGCCAGCGCATTGTCTGACTGCCGTGCCTTCTGTTTTTCTGAGTATCAAAATGAGGTAATTTTGTTTAGTCTGGAGTCATAGTTTGAAGGCTTTTAGACCTATTTTCTCTATGAAAAGATTCATAAGTTATGTGGAAACAATTTTAGGAATGTTAAATTTTACTTTATGGTTAACAGAACCCAATCTCTTGAAGTTATGGGAGTCAGAAACTTAAGACACCGCACCTCCTCACTTAACTCTTGCTCGACTTCACTGGTCAGGCTTAGAGAAGAAAAGCCTTCATAACGTGTGTTGTGTTTGCATAGCATTTGTAAAATAAATCCCCTCACAGACAGTGTGTCGTTTTTAGAAAAATACCTCCTTTAAGGCGAAGCCATCTCTGAATCCTCTGAGACCTCGCTGTTCTTGGCTTGGGGCTCCGGGTCTGTACAGAGACGCCAGTTTGACCACAATGGGTTGATGCGGGTTACATTTTTAGGACTGTCAGGCCTGGAGCCAGGACCCCTCCTTTCAGCTCCTTCCCACCCAAAGGCAGCAGCGAGTTTTGTGTGCAGTATGTAAGTCAAAGTAGTGGGTGTGTGCTCAGTAAATCCTAACGAGGCACCTCAGGAACCCAGCTGGCTGTGGCTAAAAGAGGAAGCCGGTTTCCCTTAGCGTAGGAGAAGGAGCTGTATAGTCGTGTCCAGAGGTGGAAGCGCCACTTCTGTGCCTTTCCTTCCCTTTGATTTTAAACGATGCTTATGAGATGATTATGCCTTTGTCTGTATGACACCAACTGTTGTAGAAATTGGGGGATTAAGAAAGACAGTTCTTGTGTTAGGTCTCTCTAGCTGGCACTCGTCTCCCACCATGTCCGTCTGTGCCCGTTGCAGTGTTCGAGAGTTCCTCATGGATGCTTGTTGATACTGGCCATGAAAGGGTTAGACTAGTTTGATGAGATTTACAGCAGGGAATGAGTGGCTGCTGCTCAGAGCTGTAGAGCAGCTCACAGCAGCCTTCCTGGAATATGGTGTGCTCTTTACTGCATGAACCCCACTGGGCCTAACAGATTCAAGCAAGGGAGGTCATCACCTGTGGGCAAGTGTGCCTGTCCCATCCGCGGGCAGCCCTTGGAGCGTTTGTCCTCCACAGAGGAGTGAGGGAAGAGGAGTCTTTCTGAAATCATTTTAAGAACATCCTATATTTCTCACTTCTAAAAGTTAAATGGAAGTCTGGGATTGCATTTGTCTTTTGATGAGGAATAGTGGTGATGGTACATTCCTCTCCCTCATTATTTTCAGAGTATTTTTCACTCATTATTTCGATGCCAGAATACTTCCAAGTATTGCATATTTTTATCGACATAAATAAAATAGCGCTTCTCTTTTGGATATGTCTGTCACAATGAAGATGCCATTGATCTCCATTGGTACACAGACAGAATTGGAAACAGCCCCTGGAGTTTGCAGAGGAAGTGTTTTGCATTCATAGAAATACATATTCGTATGTAAAGCTATTTTCAGTCAGATGTCTTTGAAGATTCTAAATCATCTCATTGTATTAGAATTGTGTTACAGTGACAGCAACTAAAATTCAGTGGGTTGATAGCTAGGGCTGGTGATTATTTGCATTGTTCACTGATTTTAATTATCAAGACTTTGGAAAAACAAATTTTATTGAATGTATTTATTCATTCAACAGGTATTTATTAAGCACTGACAATATGTCACCCTTATTTGACAACTCTGTGTGACATAAAATTACTGTTTTATTTATACAAGCAGAGAAGTGCAGTATTCTGAAATGTTCTGGTCTCAAAAACACTAAGATAACGGAGGTCAGAAGAATAGCAGCGATTGCCCTGAAGTAGAAATTTTGGAAAGACAGGCAAAAAAGAGAAAAACAACAATCATTTGTAATACTTACAGTCACCAGAAACATTTTAATATCTTTGATAGTGAGGGTGATAAAATGTTACTATTAATTTTATATGCATAGGGGCTGGGGAGATAGCTCAGTTGAATAAAGGCTTGCCTGGCAAGTGCAAGGGCCTGAGTTCAACCCCCATTCCGAAAAAAAAAAAAAAAAAAGTTAAATGCATAGATAATTTTAATTTTAAAATGACTCCAAGTTACACAGTTTTCAAAAAGTGTTTTTCTAAAACAATACCTCTGAAAAAGCAAAGAGAATTATACTGCCTACCATGCTTTGTTCAGCTGGTTTTCATCTGTGGAAGCTTATGAACCTTCATGCTAACATAGCTGTCCTTTGACAAGATCACTTTATGCTGGCTGTGGTGGTGCGTGCTGGGGCTGGGGAGAGGGTGGGCCCAGGAGGAGACAAGAGTGTCACTACAAGCTCCAGGCCAGCCTGAACTCCAGGTGAGAATCTGTCTTTTGTCTCAAAAGGACAAAACAAAAACATATTTAATGACACATTTAAAATTACAGAATTATACTTAAAACAATGCCTTGTTATTGGTCACTTAGCGTATTTTACTTTTAAAAGAGCACTGCCTTTTTGTCATTTTGAGTGTAATCTTTGTTGATATGTGTGATCATTTTCTGTTTATAAGAATTGTAGGCTCAGGTTATGTACATTTTATGTGTTCAGATGTATATTATAAAATTTTCCTCAGCTTACACTGGATTTAATGACAAGTTTGAAAAAGCTTGATTTTGTTCAACCATTGCCAGTCTAGGTATTGCCATAAAAAATAAAAAATAAATCAAAACTAGGCAAGAGTAATAGTTATTTCATAAGCGTTTTAAAATTTGTATCCCTTCAGTCACTAATGGGAATTGAACATTTGGAAGTAATATTTTGGTAGGAAATGAAACTCATTATGTTCAAATTTGACTTAAACATTAATAGCAGTACACATTTTATTAATGAGAGTTTAAGGAATCTAATCCTACCTTCCTCTTTCACATTTTATTTGTATCACAGATTTAGAACCCAGTGAATAAACTTTGTAAATAATGTGTGCTCATTTTCTTCCCTCCCTGCTCTGCACCCACCCGCCTCTTCTTCACATTCTGTGCTTGCAAAGCAGAAGGCCCTGGGAGAGTCGGCTCGGCCAGTGCTCCTGCAGGTCGCCGAATCAGCCTACCGGTTTGGCTTGGGCTCTATTGCTGGAGGTTAGTCATGGATGAGAGGAAGGTTGTCGTGTTTACTATTCCTTATTCCTTCTGTCTTTTCTCTGATTGTCTGCCTTATAGATTATAAGACAGAGCTCTCTCTAATTGTGTTGGAGCCAGTCACCAGTCTGTACCTATGAGGTCGGGCCAGAGGAAAGAGTTTTTTCCGAACCTAGATACAATCAGGATGTTACAAATGACAACTTTCTCTTACTCATCTTCAGCCTGGCCTCTTGAAGCCAGATTAATATTGAGGTTAGGCTGTAGTGATAGGCTTTTAATTTAAAGTATGGCAACCTTTTATCAGGAGATACTTAAGTGAAATTCCATAATGGCTTATTAAGGGTAGGATAGTTTTTAAATCTGTACATGTGAATTTTGCCTTTTTTCTCACCCTTTGATTTTGTCCTCCTTTTCTCCTCCATTTGGCCTTACTTCCCTCTGAAATGTTGATTTTTAATTTTAGCTGTTGGCGCCACTGCTGTGTATCCTATAGATCTTGTAAAGACTCGAATGCAGAACCAGAGATCAACTGGATCTTTTGTGGGAGAACTCATGTATAAAAACAGTTTTGACTGCTTTAAGAAAGTGCTACGCTATGAAGGCTTCTTTGGACTGTACAGAGGTTAGTGCCTCATGCTAAATTTATATAGAGTGAAATAATAACCAAAGGTTTGCTTTCCTGTCGTAGTGCCTGAAACGAATTAGACTGTGTTAAAATGGTAATACAGCAGATTCTCAATTATCCATGCTAATGGGAGTAGGCAAGAGGCTTGTGGGCATGACTAATCAAAACAGCCCATAACCTGAAAGCCATTTTTATTATTCTTTTGTGTGTTTTATTTAACATCATAAATTATTTTTGTAAACATCATCATGAGTGTTGAAAGTGTTTGCTGTTGTGTTCTTAAAGCTCTTTCTCACCAGCTAGTCCAGAAAGGTATCCCAGGGACAGGATGAAGTCTGCCGAGGATTTGTGATTCTTATGATGTGTACAGTGGTCTCTCTTATCCATGGCTTCACTTTCCAGTTTCAGCTACTCATGGCCAGACGCTACCTGAGAGTCTCAGAAGCAGACAGTTCACAGCTTGTGAACTGTGTGCTGGTCTGAGCAGTATGACGACCCTGTGCGTCCTCGGCTCCTGAAGGCGTTCTGTTCTGGGCCTCTTCATTCAGACACTGAGTCTTACACAGCACACCTAGGAAGGTGCACCGCCTGGTTGTTCTAAGTCAGGGACTTGCTGTATTTCCCACTTTTCTGCTCTAAAAGAAAGTGAATGATGCTCCTTCTAATGGAGGTTTCTGTCATTGGAAGGCTTCTGCCTTCTGCCAGGGGCTTTTGTTGCTGTCAAGGCACAGCCTGAGGCTACACCAGAGGCCTGTGTTGTTCACCTCACTTCCTGTCAACATGGGGGCTCCTGTCATCTCAAAGGAGAAGGGTGCAGAGTGCAAGGTGTTTTGAAAGGCCACAGTCATGTGACTTTAAAGACAGTATTTTATTATACTTGTATTATTGTTAGTCTCCCCTTCTGTACCTGAGAGAGAGGTACCTACTTGGGTGTTGGGGTACTCCGTACCACAAAAGTTTGTCAAGTTGACAACCAGCATTTGATGGAAGCCTCTTTTCCTGCCTTTTTCTGAATTCAAGTTGCCTCTTCCTTTCCTCTGACTCTGCATGCAAAACAATGGAGTTGATTCACACAGCACTCCCACCATCTTATCCCGTGTCATTCTGCTCCTTGAATCACTTAAGGGTCATTTAGGAAGTGTTAGCAAGAGCAAAGATTGTGGCTGTGCTCATAGAAAGAATCCCACAGACCCTGCTGCCTTCTATTGACATGGACTTAAGGAGATACACTTTGGCTTCCCAATGTCCCTTCACATGCCTGCTTTGTACGAAGAGCGAAGAGGTGCATCTGTGGCACTATGGGGCCCAAGAGCAAGGGGGCTGATGGCAAGCTGCTGTGCCCTGTGGCCAGCTGCAGGTCTTCCCTCCACTTCCTGCTGGAGCATGCTCTTGAAGAAAGAAACAGCACTTAGTACTCTCTCCACTGAGGCGGACGGTGACACTAATAGCCATGGAAAGCCCAGCCTCTGGGCCTCTTCTGCCATCTACTGATTCTGTTCTTCAAAGGAAACACCCAAGTTAAACAGAAGCCTCGGGAGCTGGGAGGCTTTCAAGTGCGGAGAAGCCCCATTCTGGAGGTCCTATTGTACAGGTAGATAGCCCTCATCAAAGGCCTTTTGATCTTTTCTCTGCCCTCCTTTGCTGGCCCCCTGCCTCTTCTCACAATTTGGAAGGTCCATGACCCCAGGTGATTGATGATGACCTGTGGGGTCACCACCTTCCATGCGAAATACCCACCCCCTCCCTGTGACAGGCCTCCCAAATGAAATGGCTCCCAAATGGTACAAGGTTAATGTCATTGTTCCTTCTTTGCAGTGAGTCAGGCAAAGTGACCACCTTACCTGTTCATGTGGGTGGCTTTTTGAAAGGAGAACTTTGAACCTCTGGTCAAATGTTTGAGCCGTGGCATTGCTTCTCCAACTATTTTTATGAGCTTTTCTTTTATGAGTATTGGAATACATGTCAAAAGTGCCTTTAGAATTCTGAGCATTCCACCTAATGCCTGCTAAATGTCTTCAGTTTGCTTGTGTTAACATGGTTTGTTTTTCATTGTTAATCCCTTCTTTTTGCCCTTGGACCACACCTGGCAGGTCCTGGTTATACCAAGATTTCCTTTCTGTGACTTGCCCCTTTGAACCCACAGGGAGGAGAGGTCAAAGTGCATTTGAATACTGAGTGCTGAGCCCATGTGGGCCTGAAGAAAGGGTGTCTCCTGCTGGCTCAGTAAGACAGGAGCTGCTGCTTTCAGCTTCTCAGGAAGGGGAAGTGGGCTGGCTTGTGAAAGACACAGGCTCACTCTCAGCACTGAGTTATAAAGAGCTGTTTTTCCAACCTGCTCCCAGCACTGGACCCTCAGGACAGGGGATGGAGCTGTCTGTCAGGATGACAGGTAGCCTACAAACGTAAGAAGATTAACTCTGGGAGTCTCCTGTGCTCATTTCTTCCTCAGTTCTTAACTTTTTGCAGAAGATTTTTAACCAGGATTTACTGTAAAACACATGCTTAGTTTCCATCTATAATTTGGATCTTGAGAGCAAAGAGATGATGGGCAGTACGAGTTTAAAAAGAATAATGATTTACAGTCTTGCCTTGAAAATAGCTTCTCTTCTTGCTTGGTCTGGGCCCAGTTCCCTTCAGTTTCTTGTGCACAGTCATTAATTATCTGCTGCAGCGTGTTTGTAAATGCTGATCACTTGGGCAAGAGAGAGAACAGAAGAAGATGTAGGTAGCTCTGTGCGAATGATTGTCTCTTTTAAACTGTTGTTTAAAATAAATAATAATTATAATAAAACAGGCCTGGAATATTTCAGAGACTCAGTATCATAACTCCATTTACAATGATGTAAAATAGCTGCTTGTGATTATTTGTACATTTCTCACTAAATGTTACTGGATTGATTCCTTCTCTCTCTTTCTTTCTTTCTTTCTTTCTTTCTTTCTTTCTTTCTTTCTTTCTTTCTTTCTTTCTTTCTTTCTTTCTTTTTGGTATTTCTGAAACAGGGTTTCCCCATGCAGTTCAGGCTGTCCTTGAACTCATTTTGTAGCCCAGGTTGGCCTTGAACTCAGAACAGTTCTCCTGCCTCAGCCTCCATAGTCCTGGGATTAGAAACATGCATCACCATTCCCAGCCTAAATGTAATTTTATTTTTTTAAAAAATTGTATCTTTCTGGAGGAAAACAGTTAAATTTAAATTCGTAGAACATAAACTTGCTAAACTATCATATTCACCTGGAAGTATTTGAAATGGAGTAGATTTTTAATTTATAAACATGTTTCAAAATATTGAGCATTTTTTCCTTTTTAGAGTTCTGCATACCATATAATTTTTCTCCATCAAGCTTTCTATAATTGCCCCTGTTCCTGAACAGGATAATTAGAAAATGTTGTAAAAGTGAGGTCTCTCCCCTGTTTAAAATTACCTTTCTGTGTATAGTATTTTTTAAAAAATTACTGAATGACTCTAAAGAGAAGGTGCTTTTGCAACATGTGTTCTTTTTAAAAAATTTTTAAAAATATTTTATATTTTATTTGGTACAGGCTCTTGCTACACAGCTTGTACTCATAGCGATCCTCCTGTCTCAGCCTCCCCAGCACTGGGATTACAGGTGTGTGCCACCATGCTTGGCTCCAGTGGCTGGCACCGTGTGCCCAGGGTCCTGGGGCTGGCACAGCATGGGATACTGGAGATTGAACCCAGGTCCTGGCGCTCGTCAGGCAGGCACTTAGATCGCCAAGCTAACTCCCCAGCCCTGGAACATGTGTACTTACTGTGAGCTTAATAACTATCTCTCTGCCAAACTGCCCTCTCAAAACCAGACTTTAGGGAATGGTTCTCATGTTCAGCACTTTTCCCTACGGAACTAGAGTAAAGGTTATTTTTGAGGAATTCGTTCAGCACTTCAGGACACACTACTTTGCTTTTGCTTTCTCTGGAAGCTGCCATTAGCTGCGCACAGTCCCGGAGTGCCTGGCTGAGACGGGACCCGTTTCCAACCCTGCCCACTGTCCCTCGCTGACTGAGTCCGTAGGTGTGAGGCTGCCAGTGGTCGTCTGCAGCGGCACCTAGGAGCGTCCGCAGAACCGGGAGTGCCGGGGGCTGCGCAGCTGTGAGCCATGTCCAGGGCTCCGGTGTCTGTAGAGTTCCACGTCTCAGGCTCTAGGAGACTTATTTTGTGTGTGTGATCTCCTTTAGAGTCTTAGGACACTAGCGCTGCTACTCTGTCTTAATGCAGACTGCCTTCTTCGCAAGAAAATGATTTGCCCAGGTTGGTTTTTTTCTGGAGGGAAGTAATTCTCGGCAATTTGGCCCCTAGGTGAAGTCTGTTTGTACTGTTTCAAGGAAATAATACAGCAGCTGAGATGATCTGGCACTACCTGAAATCACTTATCAAAGTCTTCTGTTTTCTCCTCTCACTAGGCCAATTTAATTCACTCTGGTGTTTAAAACTCATAATGAATTTACCTGACAGCTTGTTTGGTTTGAGTAAGCTGCATGAGCAGATGAGGCGTTCATAGCTGCTATTACTGGGCATGTTTAAGAGGGACCGTTGAACGGGTAAATCGCCTGGTGTTCCAGGAATAGGTAACTTCTGCTTTTCAACTTTCTCCCAGCCCCTGCGGGTGACAAGATGAGCAGGCTTGGAAGCTAGAAGGTGTTTGGGAAGAAGTGCGGGAGAAATATGCATTTGAAGGGAATCGGGGTCCAACAGAATTATTTCCTTAAGGAAGGTTTTTGTTTCTGTTGCTGGGAGAATCCATAACATTCCTAGAAGGAGACATGGATAATTTCATGAATTAGATTTAATTTAGAGCAGTGCTTAATTTTCAGAGTAATTAAGGATCTTCGTCACCACATCATCAGCTTGTGTTGATTGAGGTTGCAGAGTTTTGAATATGTCTATTGTATGTCGTCTGTCTGATGTGAAGCCGCCACCCTCCATCCTGGCACGTTCTCAAGGTGACATCTAGAGGATGTTGTGGTGATATCTCAGGAAGC